TATTTGGGAATTTGGAAATTCTCTCTCTCTCTCTCTCTCTCTCTCTCTCTCTCTCTCTCTCTCTCTCTCTCTCTCTCTCTCTCTCTCTCTTTCTCTCTCGTTGTACACCACCAGAATATCACACAAGCGGCAAACACCCGATGACTCAAAGTGCCACCACGCGGATGAGGACCACCCATGGAGAGGTCCCAGAAACCCCGTCCAGCGTTTAGGCCATATTTATGGCCCGGCTATAGCTAGGTCACCTGGCAAAAGCCAAGGTGGGGCTTCAAAATAACAAAAAAAATTGCATCCCAGAAGGGGACGGCTTAAGTAGGCCCAATATTTAACACGATGTGACTCTGGTGCCACTCTGTTAAAATAAAATAAAAAACGGTTTATTCCAATAGCCTTTGAGGTTATTCAGTGAAGGCCCGCGGACCAAATACGGCCCGCGAAACACTGCTTATTGTATTATATAAATGATATTTCCATGCTGGGGCTTACGCCTCTGGCCCGTGACGATCCCCATTTTCAAAATGGTGGCCTCTGAATATTAGTTGAATAGCTCTCTGCATTGTAAGCCTAGGGCATGTTTTGGTTAATGTTTACATTGTGTGCTTTTCCTAATTCTTCACTCTCCGTCTAGATAAGAACCAGCGGTACTTACATGTTGGGACTGTAGCTGATTCAAACAGCATGTTGAGAAAGGTGGAGATTAGTGTGCTCTGTGCAGAGCAGTAAGCGTCGCTTCAGGTGTCACGGGTAGTTATCCCCCTTTTCAATATTGTTCTCCGGGCTATTAGGTGTGCTGGCTCTCAGAACAGGCAGACAGGGCTGGCTTTTTGTTAATGTTTACATGTGTGCTTTAAACTGAATGTATTCACTTACTTACGTCTAGATAAGGACCAATTTTACTTCTTTTTTGAAGCCTCACTCTGGCTTTTGCCAACAGCAATAGAAGCAGGCCATAAATGTGGCTCTGTGTGAGCAGGTAAGCGTCGCCTCAGGTGTCACGGGTAGTCCTTGCCCCTGGTGGATACTTTCTGTCATCGGGTGGGCTATCGCTTGGTGTGATGGCAACTGGTGGGGTAGAAAGTCAGTCAGTCAGTCACAGGTGATAAACTGATGCATGACAAGCTAGAACCTGAACAGACCTTTGGGAGCCTGTGAACAGCGCGGAGGTACAAATAATCACTGTCTGGAGATAATGCTGCAGCAAGGTGTGACAAGAAGATCTGGTTGAAACTTAACAATCAGGAAAATGCGAGATAGACATAGAGTCAGACTCATACTGGTACCATCGGCATTAGAGCTCTGCACTTGCTGTTGAAGATGTGGTGGGAGAGCTTATGGGTATGTGCTGAGTGCTTGTGATGCTGATTCTTTTTAACTCATCTAGCTGGTACATGAGCCTATTTCATTATAACGGTTACTGAAATTTTGTCCAGCAGTGTTATTGTTTAACACTTTTCATATTTAATTATATTGTACTTTTGGTTAGCTAGAGGGGATCTCTACTATGTCTCTTATCCTTGTACTTTTCTCCTCAGATTACAAAAAAGGTTAAAATCGAGGGGATCGACTTCTATGCGCCGGTTCTTATCCCATATTGTTCTGTCTCTCCCCGTAGAACGGTTAGCCGCCCGCTGAGAGCGTCGAAAAGCATGAAAATTGTAGCTCCTGGTGGATCTTAGTCAAAATTGCGCGCATGAACCGAACAAAACATCGACCTTCAGAAAGGGGCTCAAACGACTTGGCCAGTTCTTTTAACTTGGCCGAAGTAGCCTATAGCCCTCTCCCCGTCCCCCCCTCTCTCTCTCTCTCTCTCTCTCTCTCCTCTCTCTCTCTCTCTCTCTTGCCATCTTTCTTCAGTTCTTATCAATCTAAGTCCCTCTAAACCTCTGGATTTGATTGCTTTTGCTTTCATGAAGCTAGATTAGACACACTAAAATCCTGGTTTGGTCAATTTTCAATCCTTATATTGTTTAATTAACCTTAATATCGAAGATAGAGGCTTGTGGAGAAGCATGATGGCTCACGCAAGCCGGCAAGCACTTTATCTTAAAATCCTGTCTGAGAAAACACAGACCACGCACGGTCTCTTGAGAGTGCTATTATTACTTTTCCACATACCTGCGGTTAATAATCTTCTCGTAAAGAGAAACGAACCCTGCTCTCTCGACAAGCAGAGCAGATCAACGCATACCCTTTCCGGACAAAGAACTTCGCTTGCACTCAACAGTCATCAGCCAATTCAACATACGCCCTTCTCAGACCAGCCTTTTCACCAGACCTTTCACTGTTCTCTGCAGCCACACAGCTTTATATTTGTGCTTGTACGCTGTCATCCACTGTCATATGTTTATAACAAAATTATAAGCTGTCTCATCGGCGACCGAGTCGCCCATTGGTTCGCCTGTAGACGACTTTGTCGCCAGTCTGGACAGTATTTGGGTCTGTCTCCTTTGATCGCATCAACACTGCAGGAATCCTTTTCAGGGCTCTTGGGGGCGTGCAGTGCTAAGCCATTTTATATGGCCCACATACCCTAGTCACAATTATAGCCTAAAGCTCCCCCTTAGAGGGTGCTGGTTGAAAGTGATGATTTTTTCTAAACACAGCACATAACTACCTATGAATTGCCTGTATTAAACTATTAACACATTCGAAGACTAAACGCTTTCTGTACCAATTAAATAAACTGTAATAAGTTCTACTCATGTTTAAAGTAGCCAAAGAAGTTTCAGCTACAGACTATGTACAGAAGGAGTTAGCGTATTCTTTATTCCTTCTATTTGTCCTTTTCAGGTTCTGCCTGATAGTTTGACAACCATGAGATTACAACAAATTTGATTCTGGGTGGCAAACGAGCATGCCAATTCACAGATACCCCGTTCAATCCCCGAACAGGTTTGAGACACCATTAACGAATACACCAGCCTGTACCCATCCTGTGCGAGTGAGGATGGTTGCTAAAACTAACAATTCTGCTCATCGATTTAATGTAACACCCATCTGCATTACAAGAACGTGGACTACTTTAGGACTAACTAATAAACGCATGCTGTGGGAGTGGAAGCTGAAGATGATGACGACGATGAGAATGATGATGATGAAGATGATGATGTTGACGATAATTTTGGTGACGATGATAACGATATTGTTGATTATGCTGATGTAGACGATGTTGATGATGGTGATGACGATGAAGGTGGTGGTGTTGTTGATATCGATGATGATAATAACAAAGACGAGGCCACCGATGGTAACATTATTGACGATGACGATGATAAAGATTACGATGACGATATTGCCAATAATAACGGTGTCGGTTGTGATTTTTGAAGACGATTATGATGTCTATGATTGTCGATGAGGATGAAGATGGTGGTGGTCGATCGCAGCTTGTCATTCACGGAACACGTTGACCATGTGATAACAAAAGCACGCAAAGGTCTATCTGAAATGAGGATTATGGCTGCTTCCAATATCGAGCAAAGACTACTAATACTTCTCTTCCACGGTCTGGTCCTTTCCCCCATTGAATACGCTCTGGCCATCCTCACAGTCAGTGCTACCCAGATTGAACGACTCGAAAAGGTGCAAAATGAAGCCATGCGCATTATTTTGGGATGTACAATAGACACATCCTGTGGAGCAATGAGGTATCTACTTGACTTTCCAACAATGAACCAAAGGATCAGGATGTGGAGGGCTCGGGCATACCCTAAAATATGTGCTGATAAGAAACACCCACTGCATCAAGCGCTTTTTAGTGAAAAGGGCGACAGACTGAAGAGGGGAAAATCGTGGCTAGGTCGGGCAGAAGATGCTATTAGGCAAATATGCAGCCTTACCGACATTATACCTGGTGCAGAATGGATACCTGTGCCTCAGGCGTTTATTTGTACATTTTCCTGTATTGTCACACTCAACAAGCGATGTGGAGAAGAGAATCCTGTTGCTGTTAATGCAGAGGTCAACGCTCTCATCGGTGAAAATTCAGACGAAGCAGATGCACTAATCTATACAGACGGATCCGTTATACGCCAAAGAAGAAGCGCATGGGCATTCACAGCACGCTCAGGGGGCAGAACAGTCAAAGAAGCCAACGGCGCCTTCTGCATGACAACCAGCAGCATGACGATGGAGGTGATGGCAGTGACGCAAGCGTTTGCCTGGCTTGAAACACAAAAATACACGCGCCTATGTATACTCAGTGATTCAATGAGTATGGTCCGGAGCGTTCAGGCAAGTTCGGTGCGAAGACAGTGGCTTGAATCATTACACAAATCCACTGTGCGTGGAGTCACCTTTATTATTGTTCCAGGACACGCAGGCGTCGATGGAAATGAAAGAGCTGACAGGTTGGCTGGATCCGCTATCCTACCGACGGTCAGCCTATGGATCATGCTATTACCAATGCCCTCAGAGAAATGGGAAGGATGGAGGACTTTGGTGGCAGTGAATCCACATCACTCGCCAGAATGGCAGACTTGGGAATTAAGATCGGCACAGCATAAAACGAGACGCACACCAGACGACTTGTTAATCAACATAGAACTGGTACTATTAGCCATCGGAGGTTGGGGTTCATTCTGAGGGGAGGATCTGAGCACCTATGGACATGTCCGGAGTGCAATGATGATAACCCAACTAACTAACTAACTAACTAATGGTGATGGTGTTGTTGATAGCAATGACAATAATAATGTGGTCGCTAGTGGTGATAATACTGACGGCACGACGATGATGATAATAATGATGATGATTTTTTGCTGATTATAATGTTGATGACAACGGCGATGAAGATGAAACATTGATAATCTATTTCTCCAACAAAACTAATCATGGATTACTTCCCTTACAGAACTAAGGATGAGTAAAACGGAACTTCCGGGCTTCCTAAAAAGGTAACTGTTTTGACAAAAACATCGCTTCTCTGCCGTCTTGTTGACAATCTTCATCTGAGCTTATAGCTAAACAAGTTTTCTTCTTCCCGTTTTGCCAAGTCAGTCATGGCAAGCAAACTCAAAAAGCACGCAGACGATACGAAGGAGGGAAGCAATACTGAGTTGGACTTGGTGGACAAGGGCATTGTCAACATCCAGGATATCCCAGGTTTTGGTAAGTCAAAAATAATGGCTCTCCTTCGAACTAACTTACATTATGGCGGCCAAACAAATACCCTAACAGGGCCTTAGCCGTGAATAAAATGCAGACTTCCTCCGAAGAACATATCGCGGCAAAACTAGGATTACTTGACAATGTCAAGACACGCAACACTGCAGACGATAATAGCGACCCTTGACAATTTTGAGCGTTTCTGCAGAGGATACAAGCAGACGATAATAGGGACTATTGACAATAAGTTCTCACGTTTTTAATATTGTCTATGAATCTGTATATAGCCTAAATCCAGCCGCAGCTTTCATGTTCATTATTCTCCTATAACCACCATCACACGTGCAATACTGTGTGTACAATTGTTTCCTTAGTATTTGTTGAGTTGAGTCAAGGATTGACATCACAGCACTCGGGGCATTCCCATGCATGCTCCGTCCTCTTCTTTAGCAGCCACCGCAGTTCCAATACTGATCGTACCGGTCACAATCTGGTTATGTGTCTGTCTTGCCTTTCCTCTGAGTGTAATGAGCCAGCCAGACCCTCTGGTTACCTTAGTATCTTTAACTGAACAAAAAAATTAAGACTTCTGTGCGATTTGTCATGGTACAACAAAGAAAATGACCTTGAAAGTTGTCTGTAGTTGTAGCAACAAACCATCTGTTACATCATGAATGTTTCCCTTCTGGATTCAGTCACAAACATCAAGCCATCAAAAAGACAATGTGCAGGTGAATGTGCCGACATTCTAAAGTGTTTAAAATGCTGTACTCAGATCCATACACATCATGTCACTTTTCTGATACAACCACAGCATGAATCAGCAAACGTAGATATTTCAACTGTTAACTCTTTCCACCCCAAACAATGCATTATGTGTGATGGGATCCTCCTAGTGTGTCTCAACCATCAAACAATGTGTTTTCCTACATTTTAATTTTGATCAGAGAATGTAAAGAAATCTGGCTACCCAAGTGACCCCAACCTTTGTGTTTAGTCTTGTGTTAGCTTTCACGATTGTTTGCCCCTTGAGCCTTGACAGCTTAATCTTCTGGTTACTATAATAATTGGTACTCAGTTGTTCTTTGTATTTCAATATCATCTCAGTCTGCACTAAGAAGCAGAATTTTGCCCTTTACCTTTAAATTTAGGTGTTTATATTTTGCCTGAAAAGTTAAATGTTTAAATTCCAGTTGATTTCACAGCAGAAACCCAATCAGGCATAATAATCACAGCATAAGTGTATCTGTGTTTCAGTTTCAAACACAATGTACATTGTGCTGGATAGTAAAATATTTAGCCATATTTCTTTAGCAGACACACTGTAAAGAAGATAGCAGGGTTTTTGCCTTGACTACAAGTAGTCTGTTTGTGGAGGTGATGGCGGTAACAAAAGCAGTGATATGGCTAGAGACACAGCAGTTTTGCCATGCAGGCTTTCTAAGTGATTTCACGAGCATGCTTAAAAGGATAGAGACAGGATGAATTCGAAGAAAATTTTTAGAGTCGCTGAGGAAATCTTGTCTGAAAGGAATTAGTTTCATTTTGTTCCAAGGACACTCTGGGGTAAGAGGGAATGAATGAGGGGATTGGCTTGCTGGCAGGGCCACTGTATGAACAGGAAAAGCTATGGACCGAGCCAACATTCTCACTGCTCTCAAGGAGGCAGGAGGAGAAGATGATTCAGGAGACGACGTTGAATTGGCAACACTCAAAAGTCTATACAAGAACTTCAGGTCAAAAAATGTCAAACATGAACACTATACAGGCTGTCAAAGAAGAATAGATACCAGTCGTCACACACTGGGGAATATACTGAAGATGGGATCCAAGCTCTTATGTACGTATCCAATGTGCGGTGAGGATAATCTTTCGATAACTGACTAACACACAGAACAAACATGAAAAAATATAACACACGTTGTGTTGTGGTGGTACAAATGGGTAATAGCAAACAGTACACTGTGCATTGGTTGGAAGTTTAATAAGTACTCAGTTGTTCTTTGATATTTCAGCGAATCTAAAGAATTTGTCTAAGCTGGTGTTGGCCCACAATAAAATATCATGTGAGTATTATTTGAAACATCAAATAATCTGTTCTTTGTTTATTTCAAAATCATCTTCACCGCTCACTGGGTGTACCTGTAAGTGCTGGGTGTACCTGTAAGTGCTGGGTGTACCTGTAAGTGCTACAGTCTCTTCCTAAGCATGTTTATTTGTGTGTTTACGCTGGTGACTCTCTCTGTGTGGGTTCTAGGGGCCCCATTGTGGGAAAGGGGGGTGAATAAGAATAGGCTGACTGCTTCCCTAACTGGCATGTCATAAAAGTGAGAAAATAAAGTCAAAATGTCATAAAAGTCAATCCCAGGGAATGCATTAATATGTTCATAGGTTGCTGCCTAGAAGCCCAATAAGCGCAAGATGTACCGATTATGTTTCTCTTTAACACTTGTTGGGCCTTCGATGCCAAACCCCCGGGACAGAAAGAGTCAGTTATGAGTGTTTTCTTTGAAGTCAGTGTGCGTCTACCTGAGAGGCAAGGAACCAGCAGTCTGTATTTAAATAAGCCAGGGCCTACAGAACTCAAGTTCTGGAAGTAGACTAAAGTCCAGAGTTAGACATACAAACAACCAGAACTTTCTGCAGGAGTCTACAGCTGGTGAATGCTCAGAAGTAGAAGAAAAACTGATGACCTCGATTCTATCCTGGTCAATGCAGTGAGCTCGTGCAGGATTTTCACGTCGTCCTGCTCAAGTTGCGGCGTCCATGGCTTAGGCATTGCGAGTCTGACTCACAATTCCAATGTACCGCGATCAAAATCCACTGCTGGCTGCTTGGATTTTTATCATGGTATGGGGCGTCGCAGATCTACCCAGCCTTAAATGGGTACCATGATGGCTGTCCTGGGAAAGTAAAGATGGCCGGCGTAATGCTGACCACATTACCCACGTAGTGCTGATGGTCTGTAAAAATATCGGCGCTCTTCCCATATACCCGATGTGCCCAAAGGCGCGAAAAGCGATCTTTACATTACTGCGCAAGTTGGTGTATGTAAATTCCATAATTTAATGCAGTATTAAAAGCAAAATGAATGGAGCAATAGCTGCATTTCACAAAATAAACAGTAGCTTGTGTAATAATTAGAGGTTCTTGAGAAACTGAGGATAAAAATTGAGTTTAGGCAAGACACTTTTCTTAATTTGAGAAGTATTACTCAAGATAATTACATTTAAGTTGACATTTGTATTTGATTAACTCTTCCATGAAAACATTTTTTCTGAGGTTTGGACAGAATTAATTTTGAGATGAATTTTTTTTTCTTTTTTTTTTTAACATGACAGAGCAAAAACCTTCCTAAAGACATAGTATTGGCTGTGTAATGACATATAATATATCAGATTAAATAAGAAATTAAACAGAAAACATCCAAACTATTTAAGGATCAATATTGCAACAACCAAATATTAAAATAATACAACATAAAAGGATGTTAGACATATAGAAGATTCTTTACACATTAGGTCTTGTACTTCCTTTTCTACACTGCTATTCATTTAAAAGAATTTACATGCCTTTTCTAGTTAACCGCTAAATAAGATTTTTGGTCATGCTTTGAGTTCTAACTACAGTGGTTGTTGAAGGGTTGAAATCTGCTGTTTCAGGAAAATTACACAAAAATTAAATCGGACCTAATTTAAAACAAATCAGAAAGTAATCCACTCTCCACGCCAAGCTTTAAAAACAAAAAGACTTTTTTCGCTAATTCTAGTTTTTCAAAACATATTTATACAAATTCATTTTCTTAGCAAACAAAATATTGTTAGAGTGGTTATGTCTAAAACCACTTAAGTGGTGACATGTTAAAACGTGACGGATTATGCCTGAAGCCACTTAACTCTTTGAGTCCCAAGAAACGCATCATACGTTCATAGATTCCTACCTAGAGGCTCAATGAACGCATGATGCGCCGATTTTATGTTTCTTTTCACTACCCCTTGGGCCTGTGATGCTAAACCCCCTGGGACTCAAAGAGTTAAGTGGTGATATGTCCTCAAAGAGTTAAAGACAGTGGTGACGATAGTAAATGCATTACTTATAACTGGTATATGAAACATGCAGTACTGCTAATATCTGTTCATTTTTACATCTTTGTAATTAGCTGTTTCAGACAGTTCTGTCAATATTCTATACATTTTGCATTGCTGTTACCAACTATCCCAGAAAGCACTGCTTAGTTCCATACCAATTACATTTTTGCCATCAGCTGTCCCAGAAATAGCAATACAAAGATTAAACAGCATTAACTCTTTCAGGCCCTTGAATGGGCTCACATTAATTTCTCTTTAACAAAATGGCTGAGGTGGTGGTGTTAAAAAAAAAAAGGCATTTGAGAATGGAATATATTTCTAATCCCTACAAAAGTATAAATTGTTTTCAACGAGAGGAATTAATGTAATTTTTGAATCTGATTATATGTTTTTGTTTAGTACTGTTGTAGTTAGTAGGGAAAAAGAATTCAGCAGGTGTTATGTTTTCAAAGACACAATTTTTGCGGAAAAAAGTCTTCAGTTACCATAGTTTTGCAGGCACAAAAGCCATGAATATCCAAATTTTAGTATAACACTTTGAAGTTTGTTCAGTTTCCTAACAAATTCAACCAAAGTTATACATTTCTGGGTTAGTTTATCACCCAGAGGCTCTAGGTTCTCCTACAGTGCTGAACTAAATTTCAAAGAAAAAAATTGTAGAAAATTGGACCTGTGCACAGAAAATATTAACTTTTTAAAGTTGTATACAGACTGCAGCGGCAGTGATTTCAGTGCAGTTTTGTCATATTATGGTACTGTCTGAAACAGTCCTTTTGATGAAAATATGGGTGACTATCACATCCTTTACATATGAAATGGGTCCTTCTGGGTTTACCTCATCAGAACAAATAGCTAATTGCTCAGCTTCCACTGGTGTAAATTCACCTTCCAAATCACTTTCTGAAAAATCTAATATTGTTTTTATCATTATCAGAATTAAAAACATCAGATGGAAACGATTCAGAGCTTCAGCCAAAGAAAGGCACATTTTGCGACCTGTACTTGTGGTTGGAAAATTGGTATCTGTGGCCAGTCGAACACGAAATCAGAAAATGCACTGTCTGAAAATAACACTAGCAATGATTTGATCAATTTGCACTCAAATGTGAGAACAAAGACTTGTATACATAGAAAAATATTAGAATAATCTTCCCGGAATACTTTAATGGTAGTCCCAAACATTAGAAATGAATACAGGGCCGAATGTGAATCAATATGTACAGGACACATGATCGACGCAGTTAGCCTGGTTTGGGCAAATCAGAACTTCTCAATCAGCATGCTCAGAGTTGCTCTGGCCGAGTTAAATGTTCTATCGTTTAGCACCAGCGTGGAAATAAAATTTGAAATTTTGAGAACATGCATCTTCCCTTTAGCAACATACAGATGTGAGTCATGAACTATCTCTCAGTCCTTAAGAAAAAAAAAAGGGGGGGGGGCGGCTTTTGAGCTGAAAGGCTATTGAAAGTTTCTCAGAGTACCATGAACAAAGAAGAGAAGACATATTGACTTTGTAAAAACATCTGAACATCAAGGAAGATTGGCTAATAAACAGCATCTTGTCTTGGAAGCTGAAATATTTTGGTCATATCAAGCGCCATGCCAGACTGGAAAAAAAAAAGAAGGCATAGTAGCAGGAAGGAGGGGCAGGGGCTGACCAACATGAAGGTGGGTACAGGATTTAAGTGACTCCTTGAATGTGACAGTGCACGAGGCGGAAGAGCTGGCCAGAGACCGAGTTTCTTTCAGGCAGGCCGTGATGAGAGAGATGTTCTGCAAAGGGTCTGCTACAAGACGATGATTTTGTCCCACCACAATCTCACCCTTACATCCATACATTTATTTTATCTGCTGTCTCAGAAAGTACTCTTAACTTCCACACATTTTGTCACCTAAAATCAGATGTCCTAGAAAGTACCTTTGATGTTAAAATGTACATTTCTGTTGCCAGCGGTCCCTCCAAACATTGCAAACTTCCTCAACCTGGAGATCATCATTTTGTTCAATAATATCATTGAGGTAAGTGTGTTTCTTCAGACAACTTTTTCTGATTGTCCCATTTTAGAATTTTTCTTGGCCCTGTGGGTTCCTTTATGAGCTTATGGTCTTTTTAATAGTTTTTAGTCGGGGGAGGGGGCAAAACTTATCATCCTAACTGCACTGGGCACGGGACGCCAAGTCCTAGCACCCCCCTTCCACCCCTCCGGGTCGCTCCCTGCCTACAATGCACGAATGATAACTACATGCAGTAACGTTAGTTAACAATGACATTTTTAATTTTACAATTTTTATTTGGCGGGGTGGGGGTGATTGAGAACAATTTAGTTTTAATTATTAAAATTGTGCATGCGCGCACGCACACACATATGTTCTTTCAGACTTTAATCACAATTGTATGGTATTCAGGAGATAAATATTATTAATCTTTAACATTTCAGGAACTGCCTACAACACTGAGCTCACTGCCAAAGTTGAAAATTCTAAATGTTGGGTAAGTGTGCAACACTAGCTTATAAATCTGGTCCCTGTCAGTTAGATCAGTAGATGTGGTATACTATTTTAGGTGAATTTTGTAAAGAGAATTATTTAATCTCTTGTGTTGATTAAACCATAGGAAAAACTATTCTAAACATTTTTAAAGTAACTAAAGTAAAGGATCCTTTTCCATGCCTTCAGGCCTATTGGGCATATAGGGCTAGACCTATATTTTACAGACCAATCGGCACTCAATGACCAGCACACGCCAGCCTCTTTACTTCCCAGGACTGAACCTGGTACCCATTTAAAGCAAGGCAGACCTTGGAGCCAAGGTCTTTTTTAAAAGTTTAAGTCCAGCTCTGCTAGGATACGAACTCATAACCTTCTGACCCGCAGGTGAGCTTCTAAGCGCTACACCACACATTTTAAAATATTATTTTTATAAAAAGTTTTTTTTTAAAAATAAAAATTAATGTATAAAAAGTCAAATATTATTTGAAATGTTTTAAATGTTGAATTAAGAATCAACATCACAGCACTCAGGACACTCCCTTAAGTGCTCAGCCCCTATCTTCATCAGCAAGCGAAGAGTTCCAAATCTTGTTGGTACCAGTAACCGTCTGATTTTATATCCGTCTCATCCTTTCCCTGATCGTCGAGCGTCGGCCAGATCCCCTGGTAACTCCTCACAGCGCCATTCTCCTTAGACCATAATGATCCATCTGTGCCTCTGCACCGTTTCCTAGCTTCCACAAAGCCCTCATGATACCTAACTTGTCATAAATATATTCACCACCAAGTCGTGCAGAGCCAGCCAGTATATCTGCCTGCTCATTTCCTAATACTGGCATCACCTGGAGAAAATATCCAAAGGATGCTAACTACCCGGGACCTCTAGAGTATTGCTTCACAAATGTTTTTAACTGAAGTTTCAATTGTTATTTTGTTGAAACTTTTTATTTATTCCACCACAACTTTGATATGTTGCTTGAGAATTGAGCTAGTCTGTGTTTCTTGAATGTGTCTAGGATGAACCGATTAAACAGTCTGCCAAGAGGATTTGGAGCTTGTCCGATGCTGGAAGTACTCGATGTTACTTACAATAATCTGAGTGAACATAGCCTGCCTGCCAACTTCTTTTGTCTCGGTAAGATTTTCATAAATTATCTGATTCTTTTAGATAAAAGAAAAATTATGTCCTCTCATTTCAGTCTTTGGAAATATCATAGCTTGAGGCCCCAGCCTCTTTTTTGAAGCAATGGTGCTTTATTAATACCCTACCCCACATGATGTCACAGGACGGTCCAATATTTTAGAGGGTGGTAAGACTGGGTTTCCCAGCTTTCTGATGGTTTTAACAACCCCAAAACATCTAGAACTGGTGCTAACCCCACCCCACCTACGTCCCATGAGAGAGTGCAGCCTAGGTCTCACGACTGCATACTGCCTAGGTCCCACGATTGCATGCAACCTATCTACCACCCCCTGAAATATTAGACTGTCCAATGACCTGTGGATTTCCTCTGTTTGGGGTAGGATATTAATAAAGCACCGATGCAACTCTCGAACAACTCCAAAAACTATGAGAGCAGTTATTTTGTTTCAGCCTTTTCACCATGAGAAGACACAGAACTGGCACTTCTGATTGGTGTAATTTCTCCATAACATTTCACTTTCTAGACTCGCTATAGAATGTTTACAAGTCAAACAGGTTTCATTGCATCTACGAATATGCAGATGTTCAGCGTGACAGGGGATGACTAGATTTATTAAAAAATAGCATTTAGTATGGCTTTATTTACGAAAAAGTCCTATTTTTCTATTGGCTACAGTGGTGACCAGGCAACTAGGTACAGGGTCAAGTAAGTATCACGCTGTAATTAGTTTAAAGTCTCAAAGATATGTAATCCAGTTGATTCTATGCTGCATTAATTGTTATTGATTACTCCCATTATACTGTGTAGTGCAACTGTATACTGGCGGATTCTGCACCAGTAGATGGTGAACTGATGTATGACAAGCTGGATGTTTTGAGCCCTTTGGGAGCGAGTGAACAGTGTTGAGGGACAGATAGATCATTATGGTCTGAGGGGAATGGCACTGTGAGGAGTTACAAGAGGATCTGGTCGATGCACAACACTCAGGGGAAAGGCGAGACGGATATACAATAAGACAGTTACTGGAACCATCCGAATTGTAATTCTTTGCTTGCTGCTGGAGATTGGGATGGAGCGCTTATGGGGGTGTCCCGGGTGCTGTAATGTCGATTCTTAATTCAACATTCACCATTCAACTGTATAGTATTTGGATTATAAATTGATTTTGTGAGGTTTTTTTTGTTTGTGTATAAAAAAAATGGAAGTTACAGAACTTGGCTTTTGTTTTTGTCTAGGTTACTGGGGCAAAAGGATTAATAAACCATACACCGGCTAAATCTTACCCTAGTTCTTAATGGATTGAAATTGTTAAACACATTCCTAACCTATAAGCCACACTCCTGATGCTCAGACAAGACAGTTTTTCAAGAAAAAATAAAGTTTATAAAAATACAAAAGGACCCATTTCATGCCAATGGCATTTGATGCTGGATTCAGATTTCCAAAAACAAACTAACTAACTAATCGATTAAAGAGACGACCACAGTGACGACTGTCACAATTTTTAACTTTCTTTTTAAAACTGTTTGTGGTATGGCACCCATGTGAAACATTATAATTTGTAACCCTTCTCTATTTCTCTTCATTTTCTCATAATAAATATCCCAAGAACTAGATTTTACATGCAGATCTTCCTTCATTACTTTTTAGACACTTTGAGAGCTTTGTACATGGGAGACAATGACTTTGAGTTTGTGCCTCCAGAAATTGGACGACTTAAGAATCTTCAAATTGTGAGTTAATTTTTTTATGTTTGCAAGTGTTGTTTTCTTTATTGTGAGCATATTTTTTCTTTCTTTGTTGTTGCAGTACTATAATAGTTGTTTCTTCCAGAATTTTTCAGGTAATATTTGTTTCTTTCTTCGTGGCTTTTGTAGTTTTTGAGTTGTTTATTTCATCGTTATAGTAATATTATAATTGCTTCTTCCTTTGTTGCTGTACTTATAGTTCTTTCTTTCTTTGTTGCTGTAATAAATAGCATTATGGTTGTTCTTTTGGTAATAGTGTAGTCGTTTCTTTCGTCATTGTTGTGGTAATATTTTAGTTGCTTCTGTGTGGGTGTTGTGGTTGAATTTTAGTTTTTTCTTTCTTCTTGTTGTGGTAATATTTTAGTTGTTTTTTTTTTCTTCTTCGTTGTTGTGGTAATATTTTAGTTGTTTTTTTTTCTTCTTCGTTGTTGTGGTAATATTTTAGTTGTTTTTTTTTTCTTCTTCGTTGTTGTGGTAATATTTTAGTTGTTTTTTTTTCTTCTTCGTTGTTGTGGTAATATTTTAGTTGTTTTTTTTTCTTCTTCGTTGTTGTGGTAATATTTTAGTTGTTTTTTTTTCTTCTTCGTTGTTGTGGTAATATTTTAGTTGTTTTTTTTTTCTTCTTCGTTGTTGTGGTAATATTTTAGTTGTTTTTTTTTTCTTCTTCGTTGTTGTGGTAATATTTTAGTTTTTTTTTTTTTTTTCGTTGTTGTGGTAATATTTTAGTTTTTTTTTTTTCTTCTTCGTTGTTGTGGTAATATTTTATTTTTTTTTTTTTCTTCTTCGTTGTTGTGGTAATATTTTAGTTTTTTTTTTTTTTTTCGTTGTTGTGGTAATATTTTAGTTTTTTTTTTTTTCTTCTTCGTTGTTGTGGTAATATTTTAGTTTTTTTTTTTTTTTTTTCGTTGTTGTGGTAATATTTTAGTTTTTTTTTTTTTCTTCTTCGTTGTTGTGGTAATATTTTAGTTGTTTTTTTTTTTCTTCTTCGTTGTTGTGGTAATATTTTAGTTGTTTTTTTTTTTTCTTCTTCGTTGTTGTGGTAATATTTTAGTTGTTTTTTTTTTTTCTTCTTCGTTGTTGTGGTAATATTTTAGTTGTTTTTTTTTTCTTCTTCGTTGTTGTGGTAATATTTTAGTTTTTTTTTTTTTTTCTTTTTCGTTGTTGTGGTAATATTTAGTGTTTTCTTTCTTATTGAGGTAATATTTTAGTTGTTTCTTTCTTCATGTTTAGGTAATATTTTAATTATTTCTTTCTTTGTTGTTGTGGTCATATTTTAGTTTTTCTTTCTTCTTCGTTGTTGTGGTAATATTTAGTGTTTTCTTTCTTGTTGAGGTAATATTTTAGTTGTTTCTTTCTTTGTTGTTATGGTAATGTTTTAGTTGTTTCGTCTTTGTGTTGTGGTAATATTTTAGTTTCTTTCTTGGTTGTTGTGGTAATATTTTAGTTGTTTCTTTCTTCATGTTTAGGTAATATTTTAATTATTTCTTTCTTTGTTATTGTAATATTTTAGTTTCTTTCTTTGTTGTTGTGGTAATATTTTATTTGTTTCTTTCTTCGTGTTTAGGTAACATTTTAATTATTTCTTTCTTTGTTGTTGTGGTCATATTTTAGTTTTTCTTTCTTCGGCTTGTAATATTTTAGTTGTTTCTTTCTTCATGCTGTGATAATATTTAAGTTGTTGTTTCTTTGTGTTATAGTATTTTAGTTGTTTATTTTATCGTTGTTGTAGTAATATTGTAATTGTTTCTTTATTTTTTTGCTGTACTTATATTAAATTTGTTCCTTTCAGCATTGATGTAATCAGTATTGTAGCTGTTTTTTTTTTCTTAGCTGCTGAAGTAATATTGTAGATGTCTATGTTAACATTGTTATGGTAATATTTTAGTTGCTTCTGTGTGGGTGTTGTGGTTAAATTTTAGTTATTTCTTTCTTCTTGTTGTGGTTTAAATCCACATCCAGCCATATTTTTACTTCAGAGTTGACCTTGGTTCTCTAGCTGACCTAGCTTAAAATGAATACCAGGTAATCCCTTAGAAAGTCTGGTAGTCTTAGTTTCAGCTTCATAGCAAACGGGTCACCCCATCTTTGCTCCGCTCCTGTGCCAGCAAAAAACACACAGAATGTTTATCACAGTATTAGAATTGCAGTTCATCATTTATGGTAGCAGAAGTCGCCAGCAGATCAGCAGTTGCCCACGCAATAAATTTTAATCACATACGGGCACCACAACACTGCACGACAGGCATCGCAACATTTTCTGAATCTACAATTCACACCAACACGTTGGTCACAGTCGAAAAAGCATTCCAATAGTAATCCGCAGCTCACAGGGTCACGCCATGCATTCAACTCAGAAGATGGGCGACGAAACTATATCCAGTCTACAAATGGAACAAAAATGCATCGGCCACCGTAAAAAAAATTTGCCTCTGTTTCGAACAGTGCCGCTGCCTAACGTCCATTTTGCAGTGAACTCCCCTTTGGAAGTAAAGGTGGCCTGCGTAATGTTTGACTGCATCACCCATTGAGTGCCATTTGGTCTATAAAAATATAAAGTTAATGCTGTATGCTTGATGTGCCAGAGGCACGAAAGACAGCTCTTTACTTACTTAGTAATATTACAGGTGTCTCTTCCTGCATTTTTACAGTTACTTTTTATAGTAATTTTACAGGTGTCTCTTATATCATTTTTATAGTTACTTTTTATAGTAATTTTACAGGTGTCTCTTCCTGCATTTTTACAGTTACTTTTTATAGTAATATTACAGGTGTCTCTTCCTGCATTTTTACAGTTACTCTTTAATAGTAATTTTACAGGTGTCTCTTATATCATTTTTATAGTTACTTTTTATAGTAATATTACAGGTGTCTCTTCCTAAATTTTCATCGTTACTTTTTATAGTAATATTACAGGTGTCTCTTCCATCATTTTTACAGTTACTCTTTAATAGTAATTTTACATGTGTCTCTCCCATCATATTTATAGTTACTTTTTATAGTAATATTACAGGTGTCTTTTCCATCATTTTTATAATTACTTTTTAATAGTAATTTTACAGGTGTCTCTTCACCAACACTTCCTGCCTCTTTTTTTTTTAATACTGGAAAAACTGTTATTCATTCATCTCTTTATTTTACCTTCCCCCTACTTCATTTTTTACCCCTCACTTTATTATTTTAAACATATATAGAATTTTTACAGTTGTCTATTTTCATGAAATATTTAATATTTTCTATACATCCACTCAGATGCTTGGACAGTTTTGAAAAAAATAAACCACAGAGGAAAGAAATAAAACGGCCACAAATGCCACATCTTCTCTGTTGGTCCCTCCACCCCCTTCCTCACTTCCATTTCAGCTTTTGTGTTGTCATTGTGAACATCAGTTCTTTTTCCTTTTTACATGATGAGCCCATAGATTGGGGGATTGGTCTCTTTTGATGTGAGTTGCCAGTTCTAATTGTGAGTTAATTTCTTTCAAGCCATCTTGATTTCTCTTTTTTTTTTAAGAATCTCTCATAATATCCTCATCATTGTACACTCTAATAGATCTGTAGTGAGAGGGGAAAAAAAGAAAGTAGGTGTGGTTTCATTGTAAAGGAGAATGAAAACCTTATGTATGATGTCACAACAGCTAGCATGAGAATGAAGGTGGAAGCAGTTACAGCAGCTTTCTGATGGCTCAGGAGTAGTACTTTTAATTATAACTGACTGTTAGAGCATACTTCTGAAAGTAGAAACTAATGTCCTGTGCCCAGAGTGGCTTACAGCTCTGGATAAGACTCGGATGACAAGCAGATCATGGATTGTTTCTTCTTCTTCTTCAGCATTCCGAACCCTTGAGGTTCATTGCTGCAGATATCACCCGCCTCCATTCATCTCTCTGGTTTGCCTTCTCTTTCCATTTGATGACACCAAGTGTTTGCAGGTCTGTCTGGATATTATCTCTCCATCGTCTTTTTGGTCTGCCTTGTGGTCCACGACCATTCATCTCCCTTGTGTATACAGTTTTTACTTCTCTGTCATCTGACATTCTCTCAATATGCCCCAACCATTTCAGTCTATTAGCTCTCATATGGATTGTGTGCTCATGGTAATGAGTAGGCTGATAGATGAGCTGCTGCCTGGCTGGGCCATGAGCTACTTTACGATAAAGCGGAAGTGGGGAAAGCTGTCTGGGATCGGGTGAACGATGCAGCAGAACTGAGCATCCATATATGGATAGAATTTAGATATAGGGAGTAAGCAGAGGGTATGGATGATTATCTACTTGGAGGAGAATAACTGGCAATATTTCACTCATGTTGCAAATGGCACCATCATTATTTGTTGGCTGCCCAGGAAGAGGACAGAGCACATATGAGAATGTCCAAATTACAGTGATGTAAAGTCCTGATTCTTTCATCCTCTATAAAAGTATATCTCTGCTTTCACATAATTTTTCACCAGCCTGCTAAGCAAAACTATTTTTTTTATATACATTATTAATTAATTGATGAAAGTATTAAATTAACTATACATTGACATATAATTGTAAAAGAAACTTGCAATCTTATTCAGCTGGTACTTCGAGATAATGATCTGGTAGCCTTGCCAAAAGAAATTGGTGAGCTGACTCGACTCCGGGAGCTTCACATTCAAGGCAACAGATTGACTGTTCTACCTCCAGAAATGGGTGAGTGCTTTACCATTGGTTTAAAATTTATTTCTGACGATTCTGTTGCTTGTTCCCAAATGGCCTTGACCACATCTGCCTTGTCATGTATCATTTCACCACCCAGTGATGCATATCCAGCCAATCTGTCTGCCTGTTCATTACCCACTGCGTGGCAAGGCCTGGAGAAAAGATCCAAAGCATGCTCACTACCTGTGACCTTCCCAGTGAAGCTTGCCACTGCGTGGCAAGGCCTGGAGAAAAGATCCAAAGCATGCTCACTACCTGTGACCTTCTCAGTGAAGCTTGCCACTCTGCTCGAAGCATTCCTGTCTTCACCTTTCTCAGCATGCTTTCAGAGTCTGCTACAGTTATGAAATGTGTATGCATCTTGTTCTCAAGCCACTGGAGAGCTGCAACTATTTAACATAAACTGGAAATGTGGATATTTTTGCAGTGAATTATGTTTAGAGTTTAAAAAATTAATCTGGATACCAGTTTTGAAACTATATTTAGTGACATGGGTCCTCTCTTCTGTATAACTGTTGTCTGCTGAGTGAAATTATATTTAACGGCTGAGGAATATAGATCGATCAGGAGGAGATAGGAGATGGTTTCGGCTGCAGTGGATCTCCAACACACTCTTGTCTTTTGTCCTGGATCTACACGTTCTGACACTGCTGTTTATTTCTACTTGACTGAGGCCCTAAACCTAACTGCTTCCTTTACCTGAGCTCCTGGGCATTAACATGAAAAAAAAAAACACCGGATATACAAAAATATTAGTTACATGCAAACAACTGGTTAGAATAAGATTAAACTTGGAGACATTGTAGAAAATAGGTTTACCTTTTATCTAATGCTAATATTCCACCTTTTTGTGCCAATCCACCCAGCAGGATCAACCTTGTTTCACAAAGTGAGCACCAGATGTTGCTGTTTGAGGGACACTCCTCCTTCTCTTACTATCGATCTAGTTTTAAATCTATAATTTTCAAGATTCTCCTAATCATTCGAGCTCTCACTAACTGTGTCACTTCAACTGGAAGCATATTCTTCATGAAATTCTGACTTCTCAGAGTCTGAATCAACCAAAGTATCCATCACCTGTTGGACTGTGAAAAGCCTAGACCTACTTCACTTTCCTGTCGAAATGCTTGGTTTTTTTAGCTGCTTGTTTCATTGTGAATTTTCAGAATTCTTTTCATGTTAAACCACACAAAGTAAATCAAAACTAATGACTAACCACGTTATTTGTTTACAATTGGTTGTTTTTTTTTTAGTTTGTGACGCTTTTCATCATGTAGTACGCAAAATACCAAAAAATTAGGTACAACAGTTTGGCGGCAGATTAGGAAATTACTGGAAAAGCTGTACAGCGGTTTGGTAGAGTTAACTATCTCTTGATGCTCCTTGTTTCACTTTCTATATCTTGTCCACTTTGCTTCAAATTTACCCTCCACTGTGATTTGTATAATTATGTCTTTTTATTCTTTTGATACCAAACAGCTCACCATACCCTTATTGGTCACTCCAAAGCCAGCATATTGATCATGCATCATCCTCTAATGCAGTGATTCCCAAACTGTGCGCCGTGGTCCCTCACAGAGCCGTAGACCACTTCACAGGGCCGCCGCGGAAAATTCAAAAATTGTATTTTTTTAAATCTCTTACATACGAATAGTCATACTTTTACTTTGGTTAGGGCACCGTCGCCGTGGAAAAATTTTAATTGGAAAAAGGCGCCGCAACTAAGACAAGTTTGGGAAACACTGCTGTAAAGTATAACTGCTGGCTTGGCTCCCTGTGTCTAGATTGTCAGTTTAATCACTCTTTTCTCAATGTCTCTTGTGTAACTCATTCGAGCCTAAACATTTCACACTTTCAAGTACAACCTTTTAATGACTTTCTGGTAGCTGCTGTGGTGCTAGACACTCGCCTGCACACCCGAAAGTCATGGGCTCAGGTCCTGGTGGAGCTGGGCTTTTTTTTTCTTTTAAAAAATAGCCTTGGCTTCCAGGTCGACCTAGCCTTAAATGTAGAGTCCAAGAAAGTAAAGGCAGCTGGTATGATCTTGACCACGTCACCCAACCAGTGTCAGTTTGTCTCTAAAATATGGGTCTAGCCCTATATGCCCAATGCACCTTAACGTGTTGAAAAGGGCCCTTTACTCCACTGTCGGGGATCGAAAGAGTTGATATGACCAGAATATTTCCTTCAACAGCTCTCTTGTTTCTTAATGTCTTCAAAAAAGAAAATCTAATCTAAAAAAGGAATGTAAAAAACTTGTTCATACCATTACTGTGAAGCTTACAGTATACAATTTCTATTTCACATCTGATGGTATAAAAAAATGCCATGTTGTGCTGGGGATTGTAACTAGTCTCTGATTAATGCTGTCATTTCAACATCTAGCACAGGGCTGTTTAACTGGTGGTCAGCGAGGGGGCCTAGCAAGTGGTCAGCGGGGGAGGGGGGCCTAGCAAGTGGTCAGCGGGGGGGGGGCCTAGCAAGTGGTCAGCGGGGGACCTAGCAAGTGGCCCGCGGGGGACCTAGCAAGTGGCCCTGGCGATCTTCCTTTTCAGAAATGTGGCACTAGGGTAAAGTTAGTTGAATAGCTCTGATGTAGCGAGTCCTTTCAGAATGTAACTCGTCTGGTTCCCATGCCAATTTTTCTGCCTCATGAACTTTCATGACCAGGATTTTCTTGGTGTCCTGTGATATCTGACTACGTTTCAAATTTATAAACTTATAAAAACATATCTTAGAATTTATCTTTTTTTTCCCCCTCTAGGAAATCTGGATTTAGTCGGGACCAAGCAGATTTTTAAGGCGGATGGTAATCCGTGGGTGACACCTATTGCAGATCAATTTCAAGTTGGCATCTCCCACGTGTTTGACTACATTCGTTCAGATACATACAAATTGTAAGTGACTATTCTTGATGTTGTCAGACAATAATGTTGAAGTTATTCTTCACCTTAAATTGCCTATGAGAGTCGCCTTGGGGTAACAACTAGATGCTCACCTCATGCCCAAAGGTTGTAGATTCAAATCCATGTTGGGCCATTTTTTTTTTCTTCTGCTTCCGAAATTGACATTGGATCCCAAGTGAACCCAGGCTAAAATTGCTACCAGGTAATGTCCTGGGAAGTAAAGACAACCGGCATGATATAACAAGTTCAGGAAATTATTACACAGTTAGTGGGATTTGGGAGAAAGAAACATTTATCCATAACACATTTCATGGGACTGAAGAGTTAAAGACCATGGAACATGCAGTTGTAAGTCATATAAAAACAGTTTCCTCTGGCTTAAGAATGGGAGATATTATCCTATTCAGAAGGATAAGTTGCTGGATTTGTTCCTCTGTTTCCTTTTTGAACAGCATCGGATACCAGTGTTAACTGAGTAATCCAAGCTTGCCAGAATCTATGGTTTAACAGTTGTGAAAGCAGTTTCGCGATCCTGACACACCAGGGTTTAATATCAGCTGCAGGCATTTTGGTTGCACACTGTTTTGTGTTGTTTTTGATATTATAAGCATCATATTGTTCAAAAGCCAAGGGCAAACTACTGGGCAGTAAATTGCTTGGTAATACAAGAAAAAAAGACAATAAATTCTGGGATCAGTGTGCAGAGTTCTCTAAAAATGATTAAACTCACTTTGAACCTTTCAAACTAGTTGGTAGACGACTTCGTCGGTGGCACGCAATGCTAAGCCATTTTCTATGGTGCAAATAACTTTGTCACAATTATAACTTGAAGCTGCCCCTTCGGGAATGACAGTTGACCGAGACAATTTTTTAAGCAAAGCAACTCTCACACATACATCAGCATCTTACATAAGCAGTTAATAAGGTTATGTATTTTACTTGTTATTTTTCAGCTTATATGGCCGCCATATTGCTGCAAGTGCTGCGCCGCCACCAAAAACCAACGACAAGTCTAAAAAGATCAGTCGAATTAAGAAGTAGCCATTTAAATATGCACAGTTTAATAATACCTTATCTTATCTCAGTTATTTAATATGATATTACCGTCTTATTCTACTGCTTGCTTTTTCGTAAAGCTTTTCATTTGTTAGAATTGCAACAACTGGCATAATTATTTTTCAAAGAGCATTTGGTTGAATGGTGAGGTTATCAGTCTCACATCATAAGACATGCATTTGGATTCCTGATAAGCTAAAGAATTTATAGTATTTAAAATTGTTTTTTAAATACATCCTTATTGCATACCCAAAAGCAAGTCTTAAGAGTCGACTAATTGGGGGTTTCCTTCGAAGTTGGAGTTCATCTGCTTGAGAGGCAAGGAACCAGCAGTCTGCATACAAATGAGTTAGATCTGTAAAATGGATGCATACGCAACACTCAGCTTCTAGAACAGGACTGCAGTCCAAAAGTGGATGAACAACCAAAACTTTCCACCAGAGTTTACAGCTGGTGAACGCGAAGAAGAAGAAGAATACGTCCTTATCTCTACACTGCATATCTGGGCAAGTTGCATTTTTTCCTTGGTCCTTAACAAAAAATCTATCATTTTTTTTTTTAAATATCCAGAAACCATGAGTTGTTAACCCTTTGGCTCAGTGCTATGGATATCGCAACCCTTCGGCCTTGATTCCATGGTAGGCACTGTAAATCTGGGAGAAAATATGGCTTTTTTGCCTACCCCCCGAGAGTGAGCCCGGACCACAAGGAGTTTGTCACCGCAGTCGGGTTTAGCCAACTACGCTAGAGAGCCGGGCCATTGGGTGTTTTAAACCTTTTTGGCTTGATAACCTAGAAAGAAAGAAAAAGAAAAAAAAATCAATGCCAGAGACCCATATTTTTTTATATTTCAATTTTTCCAAAATAGATATCTTTTAAAAAATGTTTTTAAAAAAAAAGAAAAGATTTTAGACAGGTCACACACATACACAATTTTTTTCAAGCAACAGGATATTTCCAGTCATTCTCAAAAGTTACCAAGAAAAGAATTGAAGCAGTGCTGTTAGCGGGACTCCTCGTAGACAAGCCTCTTTTGCAAACCAGAAAGAGATTTGAGGGCCCATCTCATAAAATGGAAGTACTAGGGTTTGTGGTGATCAGAGAAAGAAGGTTAAATGTCAATAATAAACAGATAAAATAGAAACACAAAAAAGTATACTGTGTTACATCTTGAGGTGTAGTAGGTAAATGGTATTAGCCACTTATTTACGTAAGGCAGTTAGCATTTAATGCCCACTCTGGTGAATATTACATTGACCGCCAATGCTTTCCATAAAATTTTCTGGTATCCATTAAACCCCATAATTTATTACGCATAACATTCTTTCTTTGTTACTGGGTCGGTGTCTGTGGCTTAAGGCTTAGGTGTTGCGAGCCTGCTTCGTAACTCTGAGGTGCCGGGTTCGATTACAACTAAGGGCAGTTTGGCAGCAGATCATCTTGTGTTGGTTTAAACTGTGGTAGCAAGAGCTGGCTGTTCAGGAGGGTTGGCAAAGTACTGAACATAAAATTGCCTACAGAAATCACAAACAGCAAAAGATGTTGGGTCGGTTCTGCAATGTTCGGTTCTACAATGTCCGTTAAAGGATACACAATTAACTTACAATCAGACAGTTACTGGTACCATTGGAATTGGAACTCTTCGCTTGCGGCTGAAGATGGGGAACTCACCACTCATGGGAGTGTCCCGAGTGCTGTGATGTCGATTCTTAATTCAACATTCAACAACATTCAACAGTTAACTTACAGATACTGTTGGGGTGGATATTTGTATTCAATAAATGTGAAGGATCACTTTTTACCTCTGTCTTACAAGTGAAGTAAAAAAGTAAAGTAAAGGACCCTTTTCCAGGCCTTTAGGCGTATAGGGCATATAGGGCTAGACCTATATTTTATAGACCAATCGGCACAAGATGGGTGATGTGGTCAGCATCACGCCGCCGTCTTTACTTCCCAGGACTGCACCCGGTACCCACTCAAGGCTGGGTCGACCTGGAAGCCAAGGTCATTTCTGAAAATAGTCTGGCACCTCCGGGGAGCGAACCCACGACCTTCCGATCTGCTGCGAGTGTCTAGCCGCTCGGCCACGGCGACTTCCGTCTTACAAGTGATGCTACTCTTATTTTTATAGACTAGTAGAGACTCAGTGGGTCATGTGATCAACACCATATTGGTCACATTTACTTCCCTAAGTCTTCACCTGGTGCCCGTTTAAGGATGAGTCTTTGGTTTGGGGTAAGGATGAGTCTTTGCTTTGGGGTAAGGATGAGTCTTTGGTTTGGGGTAAGGATGATTCTTTGGTTTGGGGTAAGGATGAGTCTTTGGTTTGGAGAGGGGGGGGGGGTTTAGGAACAAAAGAAAAAGAAGTAAAACTATATTTCATGTGATATCTACTGCCACATTTTTTTAAAATACATATATATGCATATACACATATAGTACTGTTATATGTTTGCGCTGCTAATCTTTTATTATACAAATGTACTGCAAGTAACTGCCAAATGTAGACCATTTATGTGCATGCCTAGTCTTTTTCATAATTGTTGTGTATTTCTTCATCATGTCATTTTGCTGCTGATTTAACTTTTGTTACTCTGATGTTTTGTTACTAAAAAAAATTTCACATCTTGTATTGTATGACCAGAAATTTCACATCATATGTTGTGTTTTATAACTAGTACTTTCACATCATATGTTGTGTTTTATAAGAAGTAATTTCACATCATATGTTGTGTTTTATAACTAGTAATTTCACATCATATGTTGTGTTTTATAACTAGTAATTTTGCATCATATGTTGTGTTTTATAACTAGTAATTTCACATCATATGTTGTGTTTTATAACTAGTAATTTCACATCATATGTTGTGTTTTATAACTAGTAATTTCACATCATATGTTGTGTTTTATAACTAGTAATTTCACATCATATGTTGTGTTTTATAACTAGTAATTTCACATCATATGTTGTTTTATAACTAGTAATTTCACATCATATGTTGTGTTTTATAAGAAGTAATTTCACATCATATGTTGTGTTTTATGACTAGTAATTTCACATCATATGTTGTGTTTTTTAACTAGTAATTTCACATCATATTTTGTGTTTTATAACTAGAAACGCCACATCATGCGATAATTTCACAGATCAGATCAGTTTACCTCTCCACATTAAAGGTTGACTCTAGTGGACAGCCTGGAGACCACAAGGTTTAAGTTTATCAAAATGAGGTGAGATAGTGAGACATACCTAGAACAGTAGATCGATCGATCAGTGTATCCCCTCTGGTCTGCTACCTAAAGGTTTACCATACCACATTTAAGAATCTTAGCCTGGACAGTAGATTGGAAGGCAGATACTAGCCACCCAGTTTGGCCTCTAAAGAAGTTTAGAATAAGGACAGCCATAGTGGCCACAACAGGCTGATTTAGCCTATATGGCTAAGGACGAAAATGATGGAGAAAAGTATAATATTTTATACGAGAGAAATGATGCTGGCATGAGGAATATTGTGTTCTTCTTCAGCATCTGAGCCTTTGAGATTAATCAATTGCAGATATCACCGGCCTCCATTCTTCATCTCTTTGATTGGCCTTCTCTCCAGTTGGTGACTCCACGCGTTTGTGGGTCTACCTGTATATTATCTCTCCAATGTCTTCTTGGCCTGCCACGTGGTCTACTTGCATTAAGTTGTTTTGTGTATGCTGTGTCTCTCACTCTCTCTGTGTTAGCTGCCATTCTCTATTAGCCCTCATGATGCCAGTTTTTAGTGGTGATTTAAACATTTTATAAATATATTTTACGGAGGAAAATCACAATAGAAACCAATTAAAAACATGGACAGAAAGATGTGGAGAGACATGAATATCTAGGATTTTTGACCAGACACATGGTGGTCATATTTTTAATGTGGTCAATTGCAATTTTTGTATGTACATTTGTGACAAAAGGTTTAAAACCACCAGGTAAAGTGATTGCCTTTAGTGACCCCTAAAATAGCAGTGGATGGAGTACTGTGTGGCAGTATGGAAAAATCTGTTACTTAATATATGGTCTTCAGCTTTTAGCTTCCACTCTATATGGTTATATTTAAGAAAATAGGGGTGACTGCAGTCGAGCTTATACCAAGAAATTAATCCAGTAAACTGTGACTAAAAAGCTTAATGAAATGGGGGAGCAGAAAAACTTGCACAAAACAGCACAACACAAATGAGCATTTAGGCCGGGGGCCTTTCTCAACAATAACTGAAATCCACAACAATAACAAAGGGGAGAGTACTCCAACCACCAATAGACCACATAAGAAACTGTTGAAAAAAAAAGTGATGTTGAATGAATAAAATAAAGGAAGGCTCGAAAAATAGTCGTAAAAGTAATAGTGATAATATATGAGAATAGTAAGTATAAAAGAATAGTAGAAATATAACTGTTCATGATCCATAAATGGTACTGATAAGAGATAGAATAAAGTAATAATGTGAAATATGTTTAATGATAGTAGGTTCTTTGTAGACCAAGAAGAACATTGACATCCTGCATGACCTAAACATCAGGGATATCTGGCTCGTTAACAGCATCCTCTCCTGAAAGCTGAGCTGTTGTGGCCATGTCAGGCACCATAGTTTTCTGGAAGGAATGGTGATGGTTGGTGCAGTTTCTGTAAAAAATAAGCAGACGCCGACCTCTGCGAAGGTGAGCACAGGACATTTAGGATGCATTGGCTGTGAAAGCACAGAGGGCTGGAGAATTTGTTAGAGAAAGAGAGACTTTCAGACGTGTCGTGAAGATAACTACATTTGGTAAAAGACAAGCTGATTGATTGATTGATTGATTAAGGTTCTGCTGTAATTGTAATGTATATTAATGTTTATGTAATCATCTTAGATGTCAGATGTGAAATAATCCATTTGTAGGCTGTTTACTTGACAATATTGGTGCTACTCATTCATGTACTGTATATAGCTATAAATTCTTCATATATCGT